GCGAGTGGAGCGCCTTAACCACCTGGCCATGCCGGGCCCTCACAGAATGTCTTAGTAATTGTTCAGAATTCCTAATACTTTAGCCAAAAGATAGCGCTCGGATAGAATGTGAATACGATTGTTTTGTTATTAGATGTGTATCTGTACTATGCACACAGTAGGGATCGAACCTCGATACTTAGCGATTTATGTACTAAAGTGTACCGTTGAGAGACGGGGGGCATGTAAAATAACTTTGTTTTTTTTAGATGAGAAAGAACTCACAATGTCTTGCTATCCTTGTATTATGTATCTTTTACAAATATAGAAAAGTTTATAATTCTTTTAATTGAAGGGCACTTTTAATAACTTAACCTTGGTAGGTATAATATACGTATCCACTATGCTATATTTTCAATGAAATGATCTGCATAACGAAAACGCCCCCCCCCCCAGTAGCACAGCGGTATGTCTGCGGACTTACAACGCTAGAAACCGGGTTTCGATACCCGTGGTGGGCAGAGCACAGCTAGCCCATTGTGTAGCTTTGAGCATAATTACAAACAAACAAGCATAACCAAGACACCATTTCTTTATTCATTTGGCATGCATAACCAAGATGGTGTCTCTTCAACGAGTTGAGATGTGTATTTATGGCACTAACTTTAGAGTGATTATTCACCAGTTTTCCACCAGTGGTGTCAAAACAAAATATATTACCTTTTTCACATGCATCTTAGTAAATAAAACCTAAAACTGTAGATATTTAAAAAATCAATATGGTAAGGCGTTTTTTGAACCGCCAACAGAGAAACGCGGCTTTGTTAGGTTGTTGTAGACATTATTTATAAAATTTGTACAATATTGTATTTACTTGTTCACAAAATACTGTTAGTTTCCTTTTTGTACGCTATGCTAGTGTAAGCCAGCTAATAGTTAAAGCGTTTTCAAACAGTGGCGTTATGCAGCTGTGCATGTTATCCCCATGCATCCAGTCAGGTGCTGGAGTATCTTGTGTTTATTTTAGTAACGCTTTTAACATTTTCTTGCTTTTCATTTCAAGCCCTGTTTACCGTATAGGTAACGATGTATTAGAAGAGTGAGGTTTTTACAGGGCTTGGTTGCTTTGTTCCCTGCACGTGGTAGCTCAAACATCGATTGTCTACTTGTGCGCTGCAGGTAGGTGAAAATATACCTACTTGGAGAAGTGTTTGTTAGGCGAGCGCTGCGCTGAAAGAGCACGCTAACATGTCATCCACTGACGAACAACGGTCAGACCACTGCAATCAGACGACTGTCCAAATAAACACACCAGAGATGGTAGAAAACAGAAGACGTGAGGATGAGAATGAAGGCCTTCCAGATTACAAAGAAAGCACAAAAACTACCGTTGATCCGACACAGGAAGAGGCCAACATGAGTAATGAGGTACACAGAATTCCTGTGTTGGAGACGAACACAGATAAGCCTATCGTTAACCAAGAACATAATGCAAGTAACTCTAACTCTGTTAAAATTACTGAGGAACATTTTAAAGCAATGGTTGAGTATTATGGTGGAAAACCTTTTATCAAATATGAAATCATATCAGTACGAGAAAAACACAGCGAATTCCGCAAAGCGGTCCCTTTGATGCCAGTTTCTTTATCTCTCTTATTATGCTTGGTAAACGTATTAGCTCCTGGGGTTGGTAAGTATAAAACAATATTCTTACAGTTAAATTCCTTTAATGTTATATGTGTTTAGATAATAGTTTGTATTCGTAACCCTTTCGTACAACTTTTGTGTTACAATACGAACTTTGAGCAAGGTAAGTTTCTTACTAGAGGTTTCCAGTGCACTTAAACAAAACGATGTCCTTTATGAAAGAAACGATTAAATTAAGTTAAAGTTAAACTTTTTAGAACAATCTTGGTCCTTACAGTAATTTCTCATAATCATATGTTTACAGTAACTGAGAAAAATGTATAACTATGATTAAAATTGTGGTGTTAAGAAATTATATTGATAACATTTGAATACTAAAGAACTAGGTATTGTTCTTGAGGTGCATTAAGACAAAGAATTGAATTAAATTAAATGTTTCAATCTATTATGTTCTGGACAAAATTTAATGTGTTCTTACACAGCTTCCTTAACTCATGTTTGTGATAATTCGATTTATTAAGAATTATATGGGAAATGTCTAATAGTAGGTGAATTTTCTTTCAGTTACATTTTTCAGATAAATGCTCAAAATATGAAACATTAGTGAACATTAGGGTTTTCAAGTAAGTTACCAGCAGTTTACTACAAGTAAGTTTATAGTATGAAAAGTCAATATTTTGTATATTCCAGGTTTATGTAATGTAGACTCACCCATACACTAGAAATTAATTTAATTGGTTTGTTGTTAACATTTCAAAAATATACTCTCAACAATCATCATACGAAAAAATAAATTTTATTGAAGTAATATTAGTGAGTTATAGTGTTCCAGAAATAAAAACTTCCAAACTGAATTTTAAGCTAATTTCCTAGTTTACGAAATGACAATGTACCAATGTAAAGAAAAATATTCAAAAAGTAGATTAGCAGATTTAATGCGTATAAAGCTACACGAGAGCTATCTGCGCTAGCCGTCCCTAATTTAGCAGTGTAAGACTAGAGGGAAGGCAGCTAGTCATCACCACCCACCGCCAACTCTTGGGCTACTTTTTACCAACGAATAGTGGGATTGACCATTACATTATAACGCCCCCACGACTGAAAGGTTGAACATGTTTGGTGTGACGGAGATTCGAACCCGCGACCCACAGATTGCGAGTCGAGCGCCCTAACTAAAACGGTTAATAAAATAATCTGTCAGTTTTCTTATTAGATTTTTTATCAAAGCTATGATAACTCAATATATTCTATGACCATTCTTGTGTATAGATGTCATAAAATAAATAAGAACTTCGGCGTTTAAAAATACATAATAATTTATCGCATAAAATTAAAAGCAAAATATACAATTAAAAATCTACATGTTTCGGTGGAAATAATTCCAACATCTTCAAGAGATGGTGGAAAAAACCTCTGAATTATTAAAATTGGTGAAAATTGTGAATAGGTTTAAGAAAAGTAGTAGACAGGCTGTTATTTGTAGAGATTTGATTAACAAATTCTATCAATGTTTAATCAAACAAACAAAGTAGACCGCTAAGTTTTGATCTAGATCGATTTTGTAGAAGAAGCAAAGTAGCCGTTATGTTTAGAGTTTTCATTAATACATTTTATGTATTTTTTTAACAATAGGAAGAACAAAATAGGCTATTAGGTTTGGAGTTTGTATTGTAAATTATATTTATCTTTAAAACAGGAGGAGCAAAGTAGGACGTTAGATTTATAGTTTTGGCTAATAATTTCTATATAAAAATATGTATATATATATATATTTTTTTAACAGAATGGACAAAGTAGGTTATCAGGTTTATAATTCTGTATAATAATTTCTATATCGTTTAAAAAAAAAACAAGAGTCGCAAACTAGGCCTTTAGGTTTAGAATTATGGCTAATAGAATTTGGAAAAAATTGCTACCAAAATTATGTTAGTCACAAAAATTATTGCTGGGTAATTTTATTATCATTATTACTATCTTATTCTATGAGGCACTGCGCCATCTAACTTTCAAAAAAGATCAAAATATCTCCGATGTAGAATATAAAATATAAAAGTATACTACTCTATACCTTATTTTAGTCATTCTATGCTTTCTCATACGTTTATGTTCCTCCGTAAATCCCACTTACAATGCATGACATACGAGTTAACATTGACGTTTATTACACTTTGCTGGCAAGAATCGCAAGGGATTTTTGAATTTCTAGTTCTAATATGTTTTATAGTTTCTCATCGTATTTTATATTTTCGTTCCTTTACTGCTCTTTCGTGTATCACCTCTCCTCTATATAATACTGCAGTTGCGAAAAGTATTGTTTATCTATATTTATATAGTACTGTTCTTCTATATATATAGTATTATTCTTCATATAGTACTGCTCGTTTATATATATATAGTACTGCTCTTCTATATAGTTTTGCTTTTTCATATAATTTGCTTTTCCATATAGTTATGCTCTTTCTTACAGCACTGCTCCTTCAAATAGTACAGTTTTTCCATATAATACTTCTGTTTTATATAATACTACTTCTTCGTATAGTACTGCTCTTCCAAATGGTATCTCAGTTCCTGAAGATATTTTTTATTTCGCAAATTGCATTTCGTTTGTTTTTCTGCAATATTTTTAAAAGTGTGTACTGAATAACGTTGATGAAACAAATAAAAAGCATCTGGACTTCGAAGCTTTGAAGTTGAACAATGAAAAACCCTCTAGAATCTTAACGAGTACATATGAAATACAGTTTATATAGTTTGTTATTTCTCACTTCAAAATGTAAACAAAATGACTAAAGTTTAAACTTGGAAGATGTTTCTTATTATATCTTTAAACTTACAACATCATTATTATGATGCGTGTAGACATTTCTCTAGGTATTGACGCTTAACATGATTCTGAAAAGAAGTTTTGTTTTTATTATGTTAGTTTTGATTTTAGGTAGTAAAGTAAACTAAACGTCTAAGAAACTTTGCATTAAAGTAAATGTCACTTATTCGGGAGCTCATATTTTTTATTAAAATAAAACAGTATGATGAATTTACAGACAATTATGTATATACTATATAATTAATCCTAGCTCCGTTTGTGTTGCTCTCTTCATTTTATATTAAATAATACTTATCAACAATATATTGCGACAGTCTGCAGGCAGTGAAGGGTGATACAGATGAAGGACGTTGTGGGTTTGAGCACCTACATCTCGCTCTCTTTACTTATTTTGCTTACTTATTTTTTGTATATACCTTCTTTCTTTAACATGTGAGACTAGCGAACGGAGGTCAAGACTGGAAAACGGGGTATTCTCACCGCAATGTGGGTCCTACTTTTACTTCTTTGTTTAACATGTGAGACTAGCGAACGGAGGTCAAGACTGGAAGACGGGGTATTCTCACCGCAATGTGGGTCCTACTTTTACTTCTTTCTTTAACATGTGAGACTAGCGAACGGAGGGTA